GGTGGGCAGGGAGCTGCACACACTCTAAAGTGACCAGGTTGCAAAGGAGCCGCTGCAAAGCACAGGGTGAGCCTTTCATCCATAAATGGGAGGAAGGAGCTTCCATGTCTCCCCTCCTCTGGGTAACTGTTGATCCAGTACAGTTCATGTGCAGCCTCTTCCTTCTGATAGACTGGGGTTCAGCTTGTCCTTGGGGTGAATAGATGAAGAGCTATGTAGGTTTGATCCTTATTTGGGAGTTTGCTTCACAGAGCAAACTGACTACTTCCTTCCTTCCAGCTCCTGTTGCAAACTGATGGGCGTGTAAACTGAGTTTGTGGCTCCCAGCAAAGCCATTCCCAGCAGAGAAAAGTCCAGGTATGTTCTAGTCCGGAGTACAGCCCACCTGGCTCCCACCAAGGTTGCTGCCCTGGCTCCCACCAAGATTGTTTCGACTCGGGATGAGTTAAGGCAGCCTCTTGGTTTATTCCTCTTAAAGGATGGGCAACCCTGGCGCTGGGAGTGGTGAAGACCCAGAAGGAGATGGACAGGCATCTGCCTCTTGCAGCCTCCAAAAGCGCCGATGGAGCATCCTTTTGGGAATCATGCTGTACCAGGCACGAGCTCCTAAATCCCCACCCGGTCTTGGCCCTCACCACTTTACAACCTAAAGTCACACAATACTGACACAGATCCCAAAGGCGAGCAGTTAACAAATACGTCCATTTGTGCGTCAATCACAAGGAATCCATTGAGGGAGGCCCAGTGACAAACGCCCCCCCCTTCAGAAAGCTTCAAGTCGGGTAGGGAAATAGGTGAGACTGCGCAAGGACTTGGGAGCAGAGGTTCGGTTGAGGACGCACAGTCAACTTGGGCATCTCTGAAGACTTTTTTGAGTGTTGATGGCATGTGGCCAAGTCGCCGGCTGTCGACGTGCGACGCGCACTACACTGGTGAGTGCGGAGGGTTGCAGCCGAACCCTCCACCCCACCCGCAGGGTGCTGCGCTGTGCGCGGCGAGGTGGGGAGAAAATCAGGCGTGGGGGTGAGGGGCGCGACGCGGGGCGCGGGCCGTACCGCTCGTCCTCGGTGGGCTCCCCAGGCCTCAGAGGCCCCACAGGACTCTAGCGTTCTCGGGACAGTCGCCCACTGTGCTCTCGAGAGGCGCAAGAGCAGGCGAGGGGCGCGCGCTATGGGCGCAGGTTTGGGTGGGGGCGTGGCGGGAAGCTGCGGGGTGCGGTGGCC